CAAAATTAGAAAAAAAAACACTTAAAAGGTATAATCACACAATCCTAAACTCCAAAATATTTTATGTAACAATTTAATGTTCTACTGCTCTCCAAACCTTTAAACAAAAATCTGTTGCCAATATCTACAAAATAACAGATCCTACTTACTTTATATTAAATTAACACAAGTGTTTTAGGGAAGATAAAAGCATTATTTTAATATTGACTATGATTACCTATAAAATATATTAAAACTTAATCCTAAGAAAATATAAATCCTAAGATAAATATGCTACTTTTCATTTTTAAAGTACTCCAAATGAAAGCACACTACATATTTTCCATGCTGTAATATTACAGTGTAATAATATAGCTAATGTAGGGTGAAAAAATAATTTTGAAACAAAAAAATTAAACAAAAGAAAAGCTAGTTTTAAATTAAACATTATTTATTTTAAAAGAAGGCAACCTAATTTTAGTCATAGCTTCAGCTACTTTATGGGAGTCCTATCCAAATAGAAAAAAATTCAATTAGGAATTAACTAAAATATGGACATGTAAAGACATCATTTTCTACAGTATTTAATAATTTAAATGCTACATTTCCCTGACATTAAAGACTTTGAGCATTTTTTCATGTTTATTGGCCATTAGTATATCTTCTTTTGAAAAGGTACTGTTCATGTCTTTTGCCCACTTTTTTATGAGGTTGTTTTTTCTTGCTGATTTGAGTTCTTTGTTGACTCTGGTTATTTGTCCTTTATTAGACGTATAGCATGCAAATATTTTCTCCCATTCTGTAGGTTGTCCATTCACTCTATTGTTTCCTTGGCTGTACAGAAGCTCTTCAGTTTAATCAAGTCCCATTTGTTAATTTTTGTTTTTATTATGGTTGCCTTTGGAATCTTCTTCATAAATTTTTTACCTAGGCTGATATCTATAAGGGTTTTTCCAACCTCTTCTTCTACAATTCTTATCAATTCATGCCTTAGGTTTAAGTCTGTGACATATCGTAAATTAATTTTTGTGAGTGAGAGGTGCAGATCCTGTTTCAGTCTTCTACACATGGCTATCCAATTTTCCCAGCACCATTTACTGAATAGGGATTCTTTTCCCCAGTGTATGTTTTTGTCTGCTTTGTTAAAGATCAGATGGCAATATGATGATGGTTTTGTGTCTGAGTTCTCTGTTCTGATCCATAGGTCTATGTCTCTGTTTTTGTGCCAGTATTATGCTGTTTTTGTTACTAGGACCTTGTAGTACAGCTTGAAATCTAGAGTAGATTAATAAAATATGATATATGTATACAATGGAGTACTACGAAGCCATAAAAAAATGGTGAACTAATACCTTTTTTAACAACCTGGAAGGAACTAGAGACCATTCTTCTAAGCATCGTGAGACTGAAAAAACAAATACCACATGTATTCACTATTAAATTGAAACTAATTGATCAATACCCATGTGCACATATGGTAGTAAAACTCAACAGAAACCAAGTAGGTGGGAGCGAGGAGAGGATGGGTAAATTTACACCTAACAGGTACAATACACACTACCTTGGTGATGGGCACACTTATAACTTTGACTTAAACTACACAAAAGCAAAACATGTAATCAAATCAAATCATTTGCACCTTGTAATATTCTGAAATAAAAATAATAATTTAAATGCTACAAATGAATTTTCTAGTTTGTTTTTGATCAAGACATGAAATTAGAAGAATTCTGCAAAACTGAAAGTGAACATGGTCCTGACTAAATTGGTATTCCCCCAAAGTTATTATAGCATAATTTTACTTTGTCAAATTCATTTCCTTTTTTTAATAAACCAGTTATTAACTCTGTAATATTTTACAGTAAGAAAACAACAAAAGCACTCCAGTGATACAACAGCCATAGAAGTTGTACAAAATGGATTATTTTTCCAGAGGAAATACTCTTCATAATTGTACAAAATAATCTTCAAGATACTGCAGGGCTTGAAGGGGAGGGAATGACACAAAAGTATTCAAAGAGTTTAGATTACAAAGAGTAAATGTAAAGTTCTGTTCTAAAATAACCACATACTAGAGATTAACTTGTTCGTAAAAAAATATATATGAAGTTTCCAAGTATTGAGTACACTTAAACTTTCAGGATACTAAATTTAAACTCACATATATGCATAAACAACAATATTTCTGGAAATTATTTCCCAACATCAAAACAAAGACAATATAGACATACAGATATTGATAAACTTAACCGTCTCTAGCTTGCTTAAGAATTTTCTAAGTTTTCCCAACTATTCTTTAAATCATCATATATCCAGTTCTTCAGAATTATTTGTGTTATGCTAACTATTAAGTACATTTCTATAATTTTATGGTTCTATCTTTGCACCAAAAAAATACTGAAATTGAAATAAATTTCAATTCAAAAGTAACTACAATGACAAAATATTTATTTCCCCTTCTCCTAGATAACAGTGTTCCTGAATGTCACAAATATATCCTCAACTATAACCAAAAATATAAAACCAGACTAAAAATAGGTATTAACTATAAAATAAAATGAAAGAAAAATATCATGAGCTAAAAACAGGGAAGGATGGGATTAAGTCTGGCCCCTCTTCTATATCCTTTTAACACACATCACTCCTACACGCACCTATGATTTTCCAGGGAAATGGTTATGGAAGATTAATTCCATATATACTAGCCATAGTTAAATTATAACTTTACAAAGCACCAAGTGAAACAAACGTTATAGTCAGGAAAGATACCTAAAAAATAGCAGAAGTTAATGGTAAAATGATTATCTACTACCTTTGAAACCACATACAAAGGAGAAGAGTTCATTAAAATATTTTCAAGGTACTTTAGGTTGTGGAATCACATTTACCAAGTAATCTTTTTGAAATCAAAGGATCACGTTCTAGGTCACAGAAAATTTCTACAGCATTCTAACACTGTCTCCTGGGGAAATAATCTGAACAATTCAGGTTAGTTTAACATGCTTTAAAACTGGAAGTTGTTGTCCTATGCTTACTACTTTTATTCTAGATATGCAGCCTCTAAATCAAGACAGTAATTACTGGGTATCCTATGTATCATTTGTTGTCAAACTGATGTATAAAGTGATCTGAGCTTTCATCTCCCTCTACTGAAAAACAAACAAAAAATAATGAGTATGTTCTAATATACTTTTTAAAGCATTTTGAATCTGAGAGTTACTTGAGACTTATTTTTTAAATTTCTACTATTAGCAGGATTTTTCACTTAATTTCTAAAAGTCACAATATAAAAGGTAAAGAAGGAACAAAATTGGGCATAAACAAGTTATGCATGTATCATAACATATACTATAATATATAGTATATGTATAATTATATGTAACCAAAAACATCTTTTCTTAATCATTTAGCAATATATATCCACAATGGAAAAAATATATGTAACCTAATCTGTTCTTTATTTGGAACTATAATAGTCTCATAAATCCTATCTTCAGAATAGAAATTTAGTCATGAATGTAATCATTGCACTAAATGTGTATCTCACCCTAAATATTTTGATTTCTTGCATAGCAGCATCAGAAATTGTTTTAACTATTTCGCAAGACTACTTTCAAGGCAAATATAGCTTTATTAGGATAATTACTGATATTTCTAACAGCAAGCATTTATTATGTACCAGGCACTACTGAAAATGCTTTACATGTCTTAACTTATTTAATATTCATAACCAGCCAATGGGGCAGCTATTATTATAATTTCCATTTTACACATGAAGAAACTGAGGCACAGAGAAACTAAATAGCTTACCCAAGGTTTTACAATTAATAAGGGATGAAGCAAGCATTTCAAACTCAGGGAGTCGGTCCTCAACGCCCATAGTTTTAATTACCATCCAATGCAAGTGATTCATAATCTGTATCACTCATTAGTGTTGTATTCTCAAGATTCAGTCTGACATTTCACATGTCTGACAGCCATTCCCCTTTGTTTGTCTAGATATTACAACATATTTAAAATGTCAAACCAAACTTTTCTCTAAAATTTAGTTGCCATTCCAGATTTCTTCCAAAGATGTCTTCTGGTTAAATAAACAGCTACAAGAGGGTGGGTGCATATTACCATGAGGTCTGCTTCATTACCAAAGAGTGATCAGACATTTTTGTGTTTTTTAAAAAGGGCTGTTACATTCTCTAATTCTCATAATGATCTATACAAGGACTTCTAAGCAAGAACAAGCATGCAAGCAAACAAACAATGAAAAAAACATCCTGGAAAAAGACTAGCAATTTTTGTTCTGGAGAAAATAGTCCGCATATAAAAACAATTACTTTGAATATTTAAATACTGATATGTTAAAGTAGGCTGAAACTATGGGAAAATAAGCCAATTTTCTAAGTATAAAGGGCAGCAACTTCTATAATTAGAACAATACCTGGGGACAAGATAAACTAAATGCATTATATGTCCAGGCCATTTCTAATATACTATTTTTACTATTCTATTTACTTTAGGGTGAGCTCAGAATTACCGTGACTCATTCTTAGTCTGGACTCCAAATACAGAAGAGATAGAATCTAAGAGTTTTCAATCAAAGACCAAAATTATTTTCTATCACAAAATAATCCAGAAAATTATCCACAATACTCTCTAGAGTAGTGGCTCTCAATCTTAACTGTACATTAGTACCATCTGGAGATCTTTAAAATCCCAATGGTGAGGCCACAGCCCCCAACGAATTAAAAAACAAAAAATGTCTTTAAGAGGGACCCAAGTATCAGAGTTTTTTAAAGCTTCCTTTGTTAATTCCAATGCAAAACCAAGGTTGAGAAAGAAGCACTGCATTAAAGCCCCTTTTCTATACTTTTTTTTTTTTTTAACAGACAAGAGAGTTTCAAATACTGATGTCTTCAACCAAGAGGAACTTACTAGAATCACTTTGCCCTAGATTAAGAATACCTGCAGGCAATAACAGAAGAGAAACAGAGGTGATACGAGCTTGGATAGTAAAGGCAATAAAACCAGTTTTTTGTATTGTTTTCTTGTTTTGTTTTAAAGCTATGATTATAGCAAATATATAAATTTATTCTTAATCCATGAAATCATGTTTCTTACATTTGCCACAAAGTTATAATTTCATATAATTTAGTGTTTGGTTTTCTAACTACTTTTACAATAGCTACTTTCACTTTAACTCCCTTAGTGATTCACTATGTGCTAGGAGTGCTAGGAGATAAAAGTAGGGACCCAAGGTGGGTCCTTAAAGAATTTGGGAGAAACATAAAGAAGGTACACATATACACAGATAAAGGAACAACAAAAGATATTACACAAGGACCAAAATGTATGGTTTGATGGCCAAGAGTTTATAGAAAACTCTTCCCTCAAGTAATCTAACTACTTTTTAAAAGGCAGTATAAATAACCAATAAAAGCAGTCAGAGACATCTGAGTTTAACATCTCAATTCCTTATTTATCAGCTTTAAATTCATGGTCAAGATATTTAATTTCCCTGAGACTCATCCATAAAATGGTGATAATAACCCTGGGGGAAAATGCTTCTTCCCTATTCCTGATGTTTCCTTCCAGTAGAAGTATTCATGGGTGGGGCACTCTCCTTGCAAACTACTCCTACTCTCTTTGCTCCCTTTTTTCATGAGTCCAGGAGTAGGGGTAATCTAATTGGTCACTTGGAAGGAGAAAGATAAATGTTAGATTAGCCTCTTCCTCCTTTCTTTCTGGAGAGAACTGCCTCAGGCCCCATGTTTTACATGGGTAGACCCCCGTATGAAGAGTCTCTTGTCTGTGTCTATGTGAGTAAGTCTAAATAATTCCTTGATTCAGTATTGGTAAGCCGATTTTCCCATGAATATAAGCTATATTCTTCAATATCGTTTTTGATTTTATTTTGTATAAGTGTGACATTTTGCTTACCAACTCTCTTTCTCCTTCTAAATATAATAGTTTCCTCTAAAGTAGTGTAGAATTCAGACAAAGCAGCAGGGTACTAGTTATTAGGCTCCACTTAAATCTTACTATCAGCCTACTTCATAGATTTGTGGTAATAAACATGAAATAAGATAATACACAGAAAACTACTAACACAGTGCCTGGAACTTAGTAAGCATTCAAAATATGGTAGCTGCTTCTATCACTACTATAACCATGGCTACCATAATGAAAGATGCAAAAATTAGAAAAGGGGGCCAATTTTATAGCATTAATTCACTATAAAATATCTAAATATGAATTCAAATAAAACACTAGCTAACATTACATCAATAAAACCAACACAACTCACTCTTTGAAAGACTGTAACCTGTTACAATGTTAGTTATAATACAGAATATAGAATAATATAAATTTTAAAGTCGGACTATTCATTAGAGAACATTCTTTATAGCCTAAAAAAAAATCCTCAGTAATTCATCCATACAGAAAATAAATATGTGCATAAGCAAAATCAGACACTATAGTGTGTAAGATATTAAAATTTTAACATTTTATAATCAGTTTGATGCCTGAAATGTTTAGGAGAAAATCTGCTAGAGTCAGTTCACTTTATAAATTTAGCTGATTTAGAAATATCCTAGAAGCACATTTAAAAAAACTTAAAGAGATATGATATTCATGTGATATGAAACTGTAATAGAAAGCTTATCCTTCAAAATGAGCACAAGAAGCTCACTAATAATAGCAATATTTATTAACCTGAGAACTACAGACCTTTAGGAGTTTTATGAAACCCTTGAAATTATTTGTAAAATGTCATTCATGTGTGCATGCATGTGTGGTTAAAATCTACTTTCACTGCATTCTACCATTCAAAGGTAGCGAAAGTAAAGTCAGGGAAGCATCATTTTACAATCCAAGTGATCACTCTCAGTTTATCCATTTACTCAGATTTTCTAGTAAGTTTTCTTGCAATATAGTATTTTCAATGTGGATAATTTTAGTACATGGAAAACATTTAAAGAATCAAAAATAGAATCTACAGAAAAGAATATTTTAAAAAAATAGCTACTTACCTTTAAAGTGTTCTTCTGATATAATTTTTTCATTAATATGCAGCGCTTTTACTGTTATTCTCAAGTCCATTGTGTTATGTTCCTGTATTCCATCAGTTGGTAGTTTTTCAGAAATGTTTTCAACATAATTGATGTTATTCTTCGAATCATCATGCAGTTCCCAAGATGAAGCTGCTGCACATGTATCAAATGTAATGATGCCTTGGAGATTATGTTTTCCACCAGCAACTTTCTTTCTCAGTGTTAAATTGCTAGAACGTAATCTTTTACTAATACAGCTTTTCCTTAATAAGTTCTTATAGATGTCTTTCCTCTTTATAGACTTCTGTATATTTGGCTTTTGTTTCTCAGAGCATGTACAATTTATATTTTCTTTTTTGTAACAATTTTGATCCGACAAAGGGCAAATAGGGTTACTCTGTAATTTATATTGATTTTTAGTAGATCTAGTAGCAGTAATTGCATCGAGATGAGCTGAATCTTTAGAATACATTGCAAGACCAGATGCAACCAATATATCTGCCAAATTGTTTTTCTCATGAATGACATCTACTTTCAGTTTTGTTTCAAAATTATATTCCCTAAACAGAAAAACTAAACCTGGTTTACTTAGGAAATCTTGAAAAAAGCTTTTGGCTTCTTCACTCCAATGTTTCCCTGTAGCAGGTAAGATACCATGTAAGATACATGGATAACTCAGCCTTGGCAAATTCAAAAGTTCCTCGGGAACAACTTTAAGATGTATTATATTTGAATAAGGTATATAAAAAGAAAATCCATAGTCAATCAACACAAGAAGTAAAGACTGATCACAGACTTTAGAAATTTCCACTCTATTCCACTGATCTTCCAATTCATATTTGAACAAACAACTAGACCCAGGAATTATGAGCTCTTGAGGCAATGTTTCTAAGGTTTCCGGAAGATCAGAAAGCAACATAAAGAGATACTTCATTGTGTCAAAGAAATCTTCTAACTGAACACAGAAGTCTGATGGATCAGAAACAGCAGTGGCAATACCAGAATACTGCCTACCATTTTGGAGTTTTGCCCAAGTAAATGATCTTATTGCACAGGATGACACAGGACTCTTACATTCAATGTTGAAAGCAATTCCTGAAGATCTAAGTTTGTTTTCTTCAACTGGAACTGTATTCAAATTTAAATATTCTAAAAGTAACAGATTATCTACCAAAATTTCTACTTCCCAAGCAGACTCTAAATACTTCAGGAAAAGGATGTTTATTTCCAAATGAGTGAATAAACACACAATGGTCTTAAATGACATGTTCCTAGAATTTTCAAACCAAATCCATTTACAAGGCACAGCTTGTCTTGGAGTATTTCTGATTTCATTACTAAGCACCTTGATGTTACATAAAGGCACTATTTCATATCTACCACGATCTACTAAAAAAACAAGCACTTTCTCATCAACATACTTTTCTTCTACTTTTGATCGATACCATTTCAAAGTTTTTTTAGATTTTGCCAGGCATTCTAAACCTTTTTCAATATTTTCCACTGATAAAAGAGAACAGTTTTTTTCTTCTTTGGTAATTAATACCATTAAATCTGATAACTTTTTTTTATTTTTGGATAACTTGACATAAAATTTCCCACTTTGGGAAACATGAAGTATTTCAGCTTTTTCAAGTTGCCCAGGTTTTAACTCTTCAAATGGCATTTTAACCAGCTGTTGGTAGGACTGTTGAAGGACCACAGACCCTTCATATTCACCCAACCTTCCTCTCTTTATTTCATTATCACCAGGGCTAACCTTTTGAGAGACAACCTGAGGTATCTGCAATGCTATCTTCTCTGGTTTTGAACATGCTGTCCATTTCAGTAGTTCACTAATGACATATTTTTCATCATAAATTATATTTACTTCCCATTTCTGCTCATGCTTTTTCAAAAATTCACAAGAAACTGTTTTGTTACTTACTCTCGAAGCAAAATAATCCACCGTTTTGCTGTCCCATATTTCGTCAGGCTCATTCAATTTGACCCCACTAAGAAAAGAATGGATTCCTAGCTGAGGAATAGTTAAAAATTCCCTGTTGAGTTCGTAAATTTTAGATATGTTTACTATTGCAGTGTTACCATAGTCAATAAATTCCACTTCAAAAGAATTCTCTGGCAAAATTTTCTTAATAACTGCTCTGTAAATGGCACTGTCACCAGCGTATTCTGCAGCCACAAGATCTCCCACCAGAGGTTTAACTGATTTTCTCTCTTTCACTCTATTTTCTCTTCTTTCATTTAGAGCATCTGCAAGTCTGATGATTACATTTTCATTCTCAGCAAGCTGAATATGGAAACTTGCTGGATTACTGATATTAGAAACATATCCTTTAATTTTCACATTCAAGTAAATGTTGGGTTGAGGAAGGTCTTTGATCTGTGGTCTATTAAGGTTACATAGGTTTTGTGAGGCTGCTTGATTTAACTTTCTGATAAAAGATTGTGATACAATCTTTACTGATTTTTGGCCCACACCACTTTCATCAAGACTACGTGTATATTGAGGGACAATTTTTACACTTTTAGGTCCGTCATTTAAAGACTTCTTCACTTTGTTTTTTGACACAGGTTCAATTTTGTAACAAAATGAAGGTCTCAAAAGCCTGGCATATGTACTTTTGGGATTCAATAATTGATCTATTTTTCCTTCAGAATATGTTACCAAACTAGTGTTATTTATCATATTATGGTGATAGTCATTTTCTATTTTGCTTTTCAAAGAAGCAAGTCTCTTATTCTCATTTATTTTATGACTCTCTTCTACACAGTGTGCTTGGTCACAATGTTTTTTTTCATAAGCATGAAGCAACGTTTTAATTTTCTGATTTATATGTTGATTTCCATCATACAATTCTACACCAAGCTGGCCATCTGACTCCCTGGACAATATTACTGCCTTTAATGGTTTTCCCAAGAAACTATCTTCAAACCAGCTATTGATTTCTGCTGGAATATCTACATCTCCAAGATCTGACAAAAAACACTTAATAGCTTGCATAGGTGTAAACAGTAACTCTGGAAACTGATCTGAAATGGCCCTCAACATGTTTTTTTCTACTAGCTGCTTATTTCCAAAGTCTACAAAATAGACCAGAAAGTCAGATGATGAATCTGTTGGCATTGCTAAAGCTCTATATGAGAAACCATCCTCCATGTACTTAGATATACACAATCTCATTTTTTTAGAATCATATATTGGACAATTTTTGAGGTTAATAATCTCTGTGATTTTTTTTTCTATCATTTCTAGATCTTTATTATTTTTACCAAGCTGGCAATAAAACTTTTTGGGACTATATATGTGAGATATATATACTTCTTCTTCACTTCCAACTTTTATATTAAATGAAGAATGATAGTAACTATAAAGACTAACTGAAGATGGGAGTGGCTTTGATAATGTGCTATACTGAGCAGAGCCATAAATAATAAGAAATTCTTGTGCACTAGTAAATGAGGATTGTAAATCCACCAAATTACATAAACAGTTAGGATGTATAAGAACTAAGGCACGGACAATACAAGTCAATAACCCTCTAGATGAAGAGATAAATTTCCCAAAGTTTCTGGATGCTTCTCCTGTCCAATTGAGTAACTTACAACTAGTGGGTTCAACCAAATAGTTAAGACAACATCTGAAGGCTTGGCCTTCCAAAAAAAGAAAACGTGGGTTAATACCACAAATATCTTTAATTAAAACTCTTTCTTGGTAACCATAGTCAACAAATATTGTGTCAACTTCCTTTTTTGACACTTGAGTCAAAACAGCAGCTCTGTACCACTTCCCGTCTTTGGAATACTTAGCAACACAAGCAATCTGCCCATTCTGATAAGGATCAGAATGAACACTGTAATAACTCTGAATTTGTTCCATTAGTAATTTTAGGTCTTCTAACTTACATTGGAGCTGGCATGAAAAGTCACCTGGGCCATAATAATAAGAACATTTAACTTCAAGAACTGTTCCTGGCTTAAAAATATATTCTTTATAAGATAATGACTCAGTCCCCACAGGAGTAAAAGGATTTTTTAAATCTAAGATCTTAACATCTGGGGACTTTGACAAAGACAAGTTATTTTCCTCTACTTTATTTGAATGATACTTTTTAGATTTAGGTCCTTCAAGACGGGCAGATATGACTTTTTTAATATTAACTTTGTTTTTAGATTTTAAATTTAACACTGAATATTCACTCACAGATTTTGGAAAACATTCTGGTTCTACTTCCCAATTTTCTGCATATCCAGCTTGTAACATAAGAGAGACAACATCGATATTTTCTGAGGCTTCAATACTTTGAATATTTACAGTATATTTGTCATCTTTTTTTGCTGTAACTTGAAGCAAAATTGC